TGTTGAAATCAATTTGTTACTGTGCAATTTGCAAATTGGTGTATTTTAATGTAAATTAGCCAAGCGCATGATAAGTACTGTAGTAGAATCATGGGAGATGGCTAAAATCAAAGGCATTGGACTTTGAATGGCTGAAAAAAATAATGAAGTTTAATCATTTTAACAGAATTTTATTTTTTAAATAATTTGTATTTATGATTGAAAGACTTCAGTTTTACACGTTTACAAAATTATTTTACTTTGTTTACATTTCTTCACATTTGAAGGTTATTGTTGAAGAAATGTTTAACATGAAATGGCTCCATTGACTAAATAATCAACGATGCAATAGCTCAAGAGCTCATGTGTAAAGTGCCTATTTTGAGAAGGCGGGGGTCAAACTAGCCTATTTATTTGTCTAGCCCAGTCCTAGGCATAGCCCACAAGCCCTAACTAAGGTTATAGGTTAGAAGGCTAACCTTAGTTATAACGTCACTAGTTATTATAGGCATGATACACTGTTGTGTTTGGTAATAAATTGGTAATAAATAAGTGTAGAGCGAGAGTTATTAATACTGTATGAGCGTGATATAAACCTTATACAGAGTTTTATAGCTTATTGACTCACCAGCGATGTGTTTTGCATGCTAGGGCTCAACCCGGCTTAGTACTTTGACGACACTTTCTACACTCAGTAAAAACGCATATCGCGGCCTTAGGCCAATAATCCGTTTCAAAGACGTGGAGGAAATGCGGAGTGAGTAATATAAACCGACAACTTGAAGTTAAAACTCATTGTCGTGTGATTCAAACACAACATAACCTACAGTCAACACAACAACAACAAGCTCGAGTGTCTGAATACTTGGCGGCTGCAGACGACGGCGGCCGGCTAGCTTTTTCGGGTTAACAAACAGCAGACGTCGAGGATCAGCTGAGCCCCCTACTTGTCTAGAGAGGGGAGCGAGAAGGATGATCTGAGGAACTCTCAGACGGCGAGTAGAAAAGTTGGTTCCTCACCAGCCACGATACAGAAGAGTTCCTCACCATCCACGATACAGAAGAGTTCCTCACCATCCACGATACAGAAAAGTTCCTCACCAGCCACGATACAGAAGAGTTCCTCACCATCCACGATACAGAAAAGTTCCTCACCAGCCACGATACAGAAGAGTTCCTCTCCAGCAACTACAACGACTAGTTCGAGAAGTTGTCTTAGTCCCGAGATCGTTATTGGTGAAGCATAATTAACTTGTGTGATACTTCAAGTAAAATTGTAAGTCTTATATTTTAATACATATAAGGTAAACCGAGTTAATTATTGCCAGGATGCAAAATACTAGTTTTTAAAATCAGTTTTACTAGATTTTATATTTTCACTCCTGTTAAACCAATGGACTTAGGCAAAGTAGACTTGATTACGATGGTGTGTTGGTTAAATCCATAACGTAACGAATACAATATTACGAGGCCAGTGTATTTTGAATCCATTTTAGTAAGCCCAAAACAATTTAATCTCATCAAGGATACTAATTGATTAGTAGTAGTCAGTGGCTACTATGATTAGTTGTGCTAGTTCAGCACGTCCCGACCAGCACGCATGGCGTGTTGGGAGTAGTGGCCTTAGGCCTGTGTTTTACGATATTTTATGGTTTAAACGACGGGTTTGCCATAAAGAATTTTGAGATTAATGTAAACCAGAAGTGGATAACTCGTTTCGGCCTTGGTTACTAGTTTTAATATTCGTGTGAAGTAACAAGGCATTTTATATCCTTCTGTCTGGTAATTTAATCTCTGTTTAGTTAACGGTTTTTGGTTAGGGTCATGTGAGGTAATCAGTGACTAACCGTTGAACTGTATTTCATGTTTAATGATTTGTATTTGTTCTAATATTTTGTGTGATGAGTTTACGACAGGAGTTGAGATTGTATTGGTGCGAATTGGATAGCGTCGGCCTATGGTGTGGAACCATTTGATGTCTGATGAATTTGAGGGACTGGCGAGTCGGCGTGCACTCAGTGTGGCTTCGGCAGCTGTGGTAGCGTGTTGAACCTACCTTTGGTGACGACCATGGAGCTCATCGACGCTTCAGCAGCTGCGGTAGCGTGTTAAACCTACCTGGAGTGACGACCAACTCACGACACTGGAACCAGCGACTCGTTAGCGGATGGAAGATTGACCTAGAGCAGTCAGCTAGCCTAATACGATTCTCGAACAGTTGGGGTTGTGTGATAAACCAACCAGAGGAACTCACATCACGCTGTTGGCCAGCTTCGATGTTCTTCATTTGATTATCCAGCGGCAGTGGTTGCGTGATAAACCAACCATTGTAACGGAGAACAACGGTCAGCAAGACAACCGGCGCTTGGTCAACGTGTACACAACGAGTGTTGAACCGTTGTGGTGGATCTTGGCGTGTTGTAAACCCAAGGATTATCTACATCGGGGGTGGCAAGCAACAACTACGAACGGACGGCCACCACGCGACTCACTGCGGCGTACGGGGCAGTGACACATGTCCGTGTAAGAATACGGACACCCAGGATGTCAGCGACGAAAGACGGACGAGTAGGCTCCCCGGCTGTAGTACCGATATAGGGCGCGCGGGCTGGAAAACCTAGGCCGCGGTGAAGACCAGGCGAGGATGGCTGATCCCCAGCCTACGACGACGTGTGGAGGGGTGGAAGTACCTCAGCCTGTAGCTGTGGTTGACGGGTGAGCTTGAACCCTATGCTACAGTTTGGTGGGTTGAGTCGGTTAAGTTCAAGGTACCGCGACATCACGAGTCTGTGTGCAGAACCAGACAGACACCCAGGACGGTGGCGGAGACCGACGGGGCCGAGGACTACGGGCTGTAGTCTCGATTGGGGCCACGATGGACGCCCAGCCTGCAGTGAAGACGTAGTAGCTGCGACGTTAGATGGGTGATCTGAACCCCGACTACAGCGGCAGGCGGAGCTCCCCAGGTACCGCTACGATGCTGGAATCTGTGTGTTGAACCAGATTCTCCTGGGGCTACATGTGGACATGTAGACGATTCGGGGATGGCGACTAACGACAATGGAAGGTCAAATTGTCTCACTGCGGTGGAAGGGGCAGTGACAGGGGTCCGTGCGATAAGCCGGATTCCCGTACGATAGTATAGACAAGTGTCCAAGAAACGAACAGGGACACGATTGTTAACGTCGTACGTCACATATATGGCGCCCGAACAAACAACAGCAACAAAAGGTATTCCTGCAACGAGCAGGATACTTATACGACCGCAGAGACAGGGGTCCGTGCGATGAGCTTCCACGATACGACGACATCAACGAAGTGTCCGTGCAACGAGCGGGACAAATATATAAGACGGAAGTGACAGGTGTCCCTGCAACTAGTGGGACACTCATATACGACGACGACAATGACAGGGGTCTGTGCAATGAGCCGGATTCCCAGACGACAGCAGCGACGGATGGGAAGTATGACTCGAGTCTGCAGTAGCATCGACAGCGGTCACAACAGACCCAGTCTGCAACGACGGCCAGGTGAGGCCGGATGAGCCCCAGCCTTCAACGACGAGCGGGGGGCGGAATGAGCCTCAGCCTTCAGCTGTGACGACAGGAGGGCGACCGTGGACCCCAGACTACAACGGCAGATCGAGTTAGCCCATACTTGGTGAGTCGAACCCAAGCGCCTGGCTGAATGTCGTGTGCTGAACAAGAAAACGATTTCGGGGGTAGTGACTAGTGTCCATGGAAGGCCACCACGTATCACTGCGGTGTAAGGGGCAGTGACCGGTCCGTGAGGATTATTCCGGACCACGGCGACATCTGTGGGATGAACCAGATGCTCGAGATCTCCGACACGGTAAACCTCCCAAGGTAAACCAGCCGAGGTGACGGCATGGCTGAGTGTGAAAGTAACATCTTGACGCGAACCCTGGAATGCCAACCCAAATCTCCGTACTGAGGCCTATCCGGAAACTAAATGTGCTGTATAGCACGTGGTACTTAAACCTGGCATGTAAACTAGTGTTATATTTTTTAGTGTGGAAAAAGTACGTCACACATGCAAGCTAGGCCTTCGTTATTTTATAAAAGCTGAAAGTTTCTCACTACATGCTCCCAATTCAGTTAAGAATGATCACGTCTCTCTTAAATTATCCATTATTTCACAAATTGCCCTTTAAGGTCGTAATTCCTTTCTAAAGGGAACTTTTCATATACCTAATGTTAAAAATACTTCAGCTGTACTTATTTGTTTGTTATTCTTTCAATTTATTACCTTATTAAAATCAGGTGTGATTATTTGTTTCTTTTACTGTATTTTGTTTATTTCAGGTTAACTTAACCAATCAATAGTTTTATTAATACTTATGATGTCAAACGGGGTGAAGCCCGTGGGTAACAGCTAGTATAGTATAAAGCACATTGCAGAATTGACTGGCAAATAAGTAATCTAAATTTTTGATATTGCGTACTGGATAAATGATAAATCACGATCGTCTGTATTGAAGAAACAAAAATCAGCTGTAAATGGTGATTGCTATCCTTATGGATAAAATTTGACTGTATATCTAATTTCCTGTTAGAATTTTGGGAATTCCACTATTTTTTCTTCCGTCACAGGATAGAGACCTTTATTTTGAGCCCTCTCCTGTCGTTCTACGACTTCCTAGTCACCCACAATTTTGACACAAAGAATCCCCTTTCGTAATTAGATACCAAAACTGTGAACAACTGTAAAATAGAGACAAAAATGGGTTGACTGAGTATATTTTGAACAAAAACAGCAATGAAATATTATTATTTACATCTTTTGAGTAACTTATTTGTATGTATTGACGGACAGTAACATAAAAATTATACATACAAACAGAAACTACATAACACTTCCCAATTGAGGCGAATGTGCAGTCTATGGGTACTCTGATAGTCCAGATTTTAATCCGTTGAATGTAGTCAAATTTATATGATTGTAGCAGACAAATATAAAATGGATAGGGTTTATTTAATGATTAATATGCCCTTTATTACCTTTGCCTCATTAGGTTTCCTGGCTGTAGCGATCAAAATTTCTGGTTTGGCTGAAGGATGTTTCAAAAACTGCTTTACAAGTTCAAGTCCAATACCTCGATTGGCCCCAGTAATCAGTAGAGATCTCATGTTCTGGAAAAATTATAAACATAAAACACTATTATATAAGTATAGGGGTATAATGTGTGTATATTACAGTAACTTGTTACTTGTATTTTAGTCATGGCTAGGTAAAGTTTTCACATGTTCATATCAGCTATCATAATTATGGGATTTCAAAAATCTTCAGTTGGGGGCTTTTTTACATAAAAAATAGTGAGCTCCAAATATGTATGTCTTTATTAAAACATTACAAATTACAAATTATAAATTGAAAACTGTGAAGCCTATCTTAAACTCATATAACCAATAATATCAATTGTGATGGGACGACACCTGGGTGCGTATTTTAACCCAAATATGAGTGAAGGATGAATGTAAAAATCAAACTTTTTCGTATTTTATGTCATTATTGAGAACTACTGTTATATAATACTTAACATACTAACTTGCAACATTGTTATAACTCTTCTGAATTCAGGACACAGGCAAGATCTATAACCTTAACCCTATAAAAAATATTTGTTTTTGTTTACTTTTAAGATGCATTGTTAAGTTGTCAAATGTCATAATAGGACAATGTAGGCATAAGGTTTACATAAACTATGGTGAACTTAAAACTGTTTTTTTTTCTGGAGAAATGGTATAAATACTCCGGCCGCAGCAAACCTGCAGACTAAGCGAATTTCCACTAGCCTGATTGGATTTACACTCAATCGATCAATTTTCTTTATTGAGATTTCTTTAAGAAATACAATAGTGTCATATACTAAAATGCCTCCTTAAAATATCACATTTTATTCCCTATTTAAATAGAATTAGTTTAACGAGTACTTAGGTTTGCTGCAACAGGGAGGGTAAAAAAGTGTTTTTTTTTTATGCTAATAGTTTAGTAATGAAATGAATGTATTTTACAAATTCGATCAAAAACTATATCTATAAAAGAGGAACTATGTGTATATGTATGTATGTTGTGGACTCCGAGACCACTCAACAGATTGTAAGGAAACTTTCAGGCATTATTAAGCATTTTTCAAGGATGGTTTGTGTGAAGTTTGATGCAGATCCTTCAAAAGGGCTCCGCCCCAGAGGGTTTTAAGTGGGCCAATGTCAGACTTTTTGAACTACAATGTTTACAAATAAATATGACTAGCTGTTACCTGGCAACTGTTTTGTAGGTTTGAATAATCACAACATGCTGTATTAGTTAGTTATAAGTACCGGGGGACCGAGCTTTGCTCGGGGAAATCATTAGTTTACTCTGAAAGCAGTCTTAGGTTTGCAGATACATTAATCCGTTCCCAAACTCCACACTGCTCGCCTTTACTACTTCCTTCACCACTCCCTACGTCGTGGACATGTTTCCCTCCCTTCCCCTAGCATTTTAGGATTGCAGATACAATAATGTAATTGCCACAGACAGCAATTGCCATATCTCTCCATGGCTGTGTGTATATTCAGAAGTAGTGGGGGGGGGGGGACCACTTGTTCACATACACACAGCCATTAGGAAGGATATTGTTCCATTGGTGTCCTTCCATAAGCCTGATAAGAGATAAGAAACTCTTACACCATATCTGCCTGCCTGCCTGGTTATGTATTTAGAGGGCCTTATGTATCTTAAGGTTGTTTGAGGCTTAAAGTCTGTTTTTTGTATATTATTTGGGTAAATACTAGTATTCAAATGTGAAAAAAAATAAAAACTTACCATTTATCCATACGTTATATAGATATAACTAGATAAGTTATCTATAAGTATAAAAGAGGATGTTTGTATATATATATATATATTTGTTTGGCAGTGATAAACTCAGACACCGCTGAACCGATTGCCACGAAACTTGGTACATACGTGTAGAATTTCATGGAATAGGTTTATACACCATCAATTTCGTGATCTGTCCAATCGGCTCCGCCCCAGTTTCAGTTCAGCTCTGGAGTTTCCCATGTTAACCTTATGAGAAATGGAATTAATGAATCTTAACTTGTTTCAATTAAACAAGTTGGTTCTGTTCTATGATGTTCAATAGCATTAAAGTTACAAGGATTACCAACAGGGTGCAGCACTATTATTTCTTTTACATTTATGACAACAGCTAATTTGCAACCAAAAGGTGAGTGAGCATAGCGAACGAACTTCAACTGGAGGCGGGTTAGCGTAGTGAACGAGCTAACCTGAAGGCAAGTGAGCGTAGCGAACGAGCTAACCTGAAGGCAAGTGAGCGCAGCGAACGAGCTCCAACCTAAAGGTGAGTGAGCGTAGCGAACGAGCTCCAACCTTAAGGTGAGTGAGCGTAGCGAACGAGTTCCAACCTTAAGGTGAGTGAGCGTAGCGAACGAACTTCAACCAGGACGTGATTGAGCCATGCGAACGAGATCATCTTGAAAATTAAGAAGTTAAACGGGGCAAAGCCCGCGGGTTACACAGCTAGTATATATATAACTATAGATATAAGTTATATATGTATCAAGGAAATAGTTACTTTTAATCGAATTTAAGTGATTAGTATGATAAAGAGTCATTTGGTTCACCTGTTAAGACCATGAAAGAGTTATATTTGACAGAAAAAGCATACAATGTTCATAAAAATTGCATTTAAAATATGAAACCTTTGTAACTTTGAAACCATAATATCTACAGATTAGTTAAAAATTGAGTTTTAATCAGCATGAAGAGTACTACAAGATGTATATGTTTATTCATCTCCAAAACTGTGATTTTAGAAAAAGACAAATACGTAGTAACGTATTATTTGCTAACGGAGACACAATACTGAGTCAACATTCTTGGTGGGAAGGTGGCCTTGATAGAGGTGTCAATGTACAGTGTACCCTCTGAAGCGTATTTAAACGTTGGAAAAGACTATATAGATAAAATATAAGTTATTGATTTGTAATCCTGATGGAATTATGTTAAAGAAAAGTCCAAACATCATGTAAATGAGTGAAAATTTAAAAACGTACGTTTTCAGGAAAAGCATTTTGCAAATTTTTTTCCCCTTTTTTCAAAACTTTTTTTTTATTTCATTAACATTTGAAGTTTTATAAAATGTCCATGGCAACGCAATATCTTTAATAGTTTTTTTTTAAAAGAGCGTCTTTAGTGGAAAAACACGAAATCCTGTCACGACCATAACAGACGTTTATATGAATATTAAAAATAGTTAATATTATTTTTATAACTATGTTTTGCTATAAACTAATTTACTTTTATGACCATTATACAATAAAAAGGTCACTGAGCTTTTGGTATATTTGGTCTTTCTAGAAAAACATAAAAAAACTCAAAAAATTGAAAAAAAGCCAATAAAATCTTTTTAAGTTTGTATAACTCTGAAAAAAACTTACCTGAGACCCGAAAAATCGTTATGTTTGTATAGAGGTGTGCTTCTTTTGTGTATAAAACATTGAAATATGACGATATTTTAATTTTTGAAATTTTTATGATAGAAATCGTAAACGTGATGGTCAGGGACAAGCGGTACTTTCGTACTTTCTAAAACCATAAGGGGGTATAACCTTAACCTTGCCTCATAAAACCACTACCTTCCTTAACATTGCTACCTTCCGTAGGAAAATACAATAGGCCTAATTCATTGCATAGAAAATATTATAAAACTATTATTTCCTTAGAGAGGAGATTCCAAAATTTAATTTTCATACATAAAACGTGATCATGTGCCTTTTATTTGGCTACTACGATTATTGCACAAAGTATTAATGATTATCTGTGCCTTTTTTACTTTCTCCCCCTATACATATGGAGAAAGTATTGTTTTCGTCAAAATTTTCGAGTTTGTGTGGATATATATGTTTTGGGCCCCCCTGGACCCAAAAAAAGGTTTTCAAAGTGATGTCTGTGTGTGTGTGTGTGTGTGTGCGTCTGTAGTCACCAAATAGTGGCATCCTTCACCGGAACACAGCCGTACTGTGGCACCTTGAAAATTTGTGGCATCTTTTTCAGGGTGCCAGAACTAATTTATCATTTTTGGGGTTATCCAACACTATAACGTCGTTTAAACATCACATGCCACAGTTGAGTATTTTTCATCTCGTCGATGTGTGTTTAAGTAGCGCAGGCACACGCCGAATTGTGAACACGAAACCATGCCAGCAGCTAGCGTGCCTCGCGTCGTCCACCGGAATTACAACTTCCTTAATGCTGGATTGCCAATTCTCACGTCAGCCCGGGAACAGTGCAGCAAGCAACTAATAATACTGTACTGCCATGTACTATAAAAAAAATTAAGTACCATAAATAATACACTTTTGCTCCGAGTGGTGAACAATGTTTTACATTACAAATAATTTGTGTAGTAATAATTTAAACAGTTTTTATGCCAGCATTTAAAATTTATATTTTTATTTACAAACATAAATTGGTAACATAGTTACTATCAATTGCAACATAGCATACAACATAACAACATAACAATGTTTTAGGTTAGAACACCATATAAATTGCACAATGCTGCAATTTTTTATCTTACAAACTATTTTGTGTTGATACTTCTATTTTATTAACATTCTAGTTATGTTGACAAAATATTTTACAATTACATTTCTAAAACACACATTTAGGGTAGATTTTGATGCATCATTGCTGAAAATTGTGTTTTGCTTCTCAGAGTATTCCAAAGACATCTAATGTTTCAATACATGTTCAAATGTTATATGAGGTACACATATAACAGAATCAATTGAAGTACTTTAATTAAAATACCCCCACCGCAGCAAACCTGCAGACTTAGCGAATTTCCATTTGCCTGATTGGATCTAAACTAAAATGTCTCCTTAAAAATATCACATTTATTCCCTATTTAAACAGAATTAGTTTAATGAGTACTTAGGTTTGCTGCAACAGGGAGGGTAAAAAAGTTTTTTTGTATGAAAAATGTTAAAAGGTAGGCCTACTGTGGTTTAGTAAGAAATTAATGTATTTTCCAAATTTGATCAAAATATGTTCATAAACAAGCAAACTACAACAGTTGACTTATTCTCCATAAGAATAACATGGGAATTTTAAAATTACA